GGAGCCACCACATCTGGCCTTGGGCAATATGTTCTCATGCATGGAGAAATGGCTAGAGAACTAAATAGGCCATGGTTACCTCTGCCCATGCTTTGAGAACAGCCAGTTTTTCCATGGTGGTGGCACTCTCTCGGTACAGTTGGCTGGAAGATCCTTTTCCAGCCTGAACTTTGTCCAGAGAAGAAACAAGAAGATTGTGTACTCGTCGGAGATCATTGAGATCACTGACAACTCCACTTCCAATCCATGTACTACATACCTAGCCATAAAAATTAAAACAAAAAAATTAACATGGTATATTAGAGAATGGAATAAATACAGGATTATTTTTCTTGAGGAACAAAACCAAAACAAAACCAAAGAACAAAACAAAATACCCAATGCTAAGGTTTAATATTATTTGTTATAGCAAATCAACACCAATCATAGATTTTACTGCACTATTTAGAAAAGAAAACAGAAGAAAAGATTCCACTGTCGTATTTAACAAAGATATAAAGAGAAATAATTTCCAACCCAAAGCAGTTCAAAATTAAATAATTCTTCAACAAAATTTCCACTTACCATAGGCAAAAGGTTATGCTAGCTGCTATGGAAGACATTTTAAAAAAAGAAAAAACCTACTTCCTACCCTCAAGTAAGAAAACGCAGATTGAATGAACATACAAGAACATTTTATGACAGTGATACTACACTTAAAAACAGATAAGAGAGAGATTATTTCTAGCAGGAGCAAAGGGAATGTTTCAGTATCAGAAAGGTGGTGTGTATAGACATTGGTGAGTTACGTGATGAAGAGATGTGATTAAAAAAGTTAATTGGGATCAGAGTATTATAAAATTTAAATTCCAAGCAAACTGAATTCAGATTGTATTTCATGGACAATCATAAGTTTCTATGGCTGCAGAGCAGGGGGACGATATTATTAGAATTGCACTTTAGGAAAACTGGTCTAGTATCTGTGTACAGGAGGAATGTGCATAGACGGGGGCAAGGTGTTCAGTTCTTTCACAATACAATAGAAGAAGATAGAAATCATAATACGATAGAAGAAGACAGAAATCAAACTGGGAATAAAATTAAAAAGGAAAGGCTCAGGAAAGAGACTTGCAGGTAGAAAACAATTAGATATTTTTAGGGAAAGAGGGCAGGGAGATATAAAAAGCAAGGAATCAAAATTGCCAAATTTTGATTGTCTAAGCTTCTAACTTGGATGAGTGCAAGGAAGGTAACATCACTGTTTAAGAGAATTAATACAGAGAAATATGAAAGTTTAGTGGAAAGGATAAGTTAGTAGGATTTTGACTTTAATGTTTTTATGTGCTGAGTTCAAAGTGCTTTATGGAAAGACATTCAGCAGGCACTTAGAAACTTGGGTCTGAATCTCAGAAGGGTAACTATCAAAACCCAGGAATTCCCACAAAAAGATGATAGCTAAAGTATTGTTACTATATAAATTTGTTCAAAAACGATTTTTAAGAAAGCTTTTTCAGATAACAAGGAAAATAGTTACAACTAAGGGAGCTTTAATGCCCAAATCCTTTTTCAGGGTGAGGCATATAAAAAAAGGTAACTTATTAAAGATATAAGAACATGGGTCAGCGCCTATAGTTCAGTGACTAGGGTGCCAGCCATGTACACCAGAGCTCATGGGTTCAAATCGAGCCCCAGCCTGCCAAACAACAATGACAACTACAACCAAAAAATAGCTGGGCGTTGTGGTGGGTGCCTGTAGTCCCAGCTACTTGGAAGGCTAAGGCTACAGAATTGCTTAAGCCCAGGACTCTGAGGTTGCTGTAGGTTGTGACGCCATGGTAATATACCCAGGGTGACAACTTGAGACTTTTGTCTCAAAAAAAAAAAAAAAAAAAGTATAAGAGTGTATATGTTGGTGATTTTGTGAGTTTCTACAGATATAATAATGGGAGAATAATTCCCTGGACCTAATTTTGCAATTAAATTTCCATATTGTAAAATTCTCTTTAAGATAATTCAATACCCACAAACTTGTAGCATTTTCATAACCTGTGGTCAAAACCAAATTTTTTTTTTTTTTGAGATAGAATCTCACTCTGTCACCCCAGTCAGAATGCCATGGCCTTAGCCTAGCTCACGGCAACCTCAAACTCCTGGGCTCAAATGATTTTCCTGCCTTCCTGAATAGCTGGGACTATAGGCATGTACCACCATCCCCAGCTAATTTTTCTATTTTTAGTAGAGATAGGGTCTTGCTCTTGCTCAGGTTGGTCTCGAACTCCAGAGCTCAAGTTATCCTCCCACCTTAGTCTTCCAGAGTGCTAAGATTACAGAGGTGAGCAACCATATCTAGCTCAAAACCAGTGGTTTCTTTTGTTTGTTTTTGAGACAGAGTCTATGTCACCCTCAGTAGACTGCCAGGGCATCACAGCTCAGAGCAACCTCAAACTCTTGGGCTTAAGTGATTCTCTTGCTTCAGCCTTCCAAATAGCTGGGACTAGAGGCACCCACCAGAATACTCAGCTATTTTTTGTTGCAGTTGTCATCATTATTGCTTAGCTGGCCCAGGCCAGGTTTGAACCCGCCAGCTTCAGTGCATGTGGCCGGCACCGTAACCACTGTGCTACAGGCACCGAACCTCAAAAGCAATGTTTTGACCACAAAATTTATTACCTAATTTTTATCAGTTTATTATCTAGTTAACAACAGTCTACATTCTTTAATTATTACAGATTTTGATATGTTATTTAACTTTAGTCCCTCTTAAGATTTCATATGTTTATGACAAAAAAGGATGTGATTAACGGTTTACTATATAATTTCATATAGGATTTTAAAAAAAAAAACTGCCTCTGTTGTATTTCCAAGAGAAAAATAAATATTTAATTTTTCTCTTCTTTCTTAGAAGTGAACTTCTAAGACCTCAATACATTTATAGAAGATAACTATATCTCACTAATAAGTGGGAGCTAAACAATGGGTCCACACAGGCACAAAGAGATATAAAGGTCATTGAAACCAAGAAGCGGGGGGGCGTGAGATAAAAAGTTACCTACTGTGTACAACGAACACTATTGATGACAAGCACACCAAGGGCCCTGATTTTAAGCATTATACAAAGTATCCATGTTAAAAAAAAATTGCCATCCCCTTAATATTTTCAAATAATAATAAACAAAGAAGACAACTACAGAAAGCCCTATTTTTCTTCTTACCTGGCAAGCTTTTGCTATTATATCCGATGGTGTATCTTGTGAAAAGGCTGGTCTTAGAGCAGCTCCCACCTAGAAAAATGAATAAAGGATTTAATTTTTTAATTTTTTTTTTTTTTGAGAAGAGTATCACTTTGTCACCCCCAGTAGAGTGTCATGGTGTCATAGCTCACAACAACCTCAAACTCTTGGGCTCAAGCGATCTTCTTACCTCAGCCTCCCAAGTAGCTGGGACTACAGGCACTCCTCACAACACCTAGCTATTTTTAGAGACAGGGTCTGGTTCTAGCTCTGGCTGGTCTTGAATTTAAGACCTCAGGTAATCCGCCTGCCTCCACCTCCCAGAGTGCTGGGATTACAGGCATGAACCACTGTGCCTGGCTTAAAGGATTTCATTTTTAAAGGTAAGTAGTAAATTGTCTCTTTGGAGAAGAGAACACACAAAATATATCTACTTTCCTTTCCTTTTTATCATTTCTCTCTTATTTCTTTTTATTTACAATAAACTCAACCATATTATTTTTCTTTTGCTCTCAAGGAGGTTATCATTACTAAATCTAAATGAATGCTCTATCAAATAGGCAATTAATCTTATTTCTTTTTTTCTTTGTTTTTATTTAATAGTAGACAAGATTTCCTAAAAAAGCTACATTATCAGAGATAATGTAATGATATTCTGGTGTTATTCTTTTAATGCCTGTATTTTTTTTTTATTTCTTTTTTTATTTTTATTGAGACAGAGTCTCACTATGTCACCCTTGGTAGAGTGCCGTGGCATCACAGCTCAGAGCAACCTCAAACTCTTGGGCTTAAGTGATTCTCGTGCCTCAACCTCCCGAGTAGCTGGGACTACAGGCACCCACCAAAACGTCCGGCTATTTTTTTGGTGTTGTTGCAGTTGTCATTGTTGTTTAGTAGGCCTAGGCCAGGTTTGAACCCACCACTCTCGGTAGATATGTAGCTGGCATTGTAACCACTGTGCTACAGGCACCAAGCCTCATATTTCTAATAGTATTTACCTAATGGGTGAATCTCATGTAACTGAATCAATTTCTTTAAATAACTGAATAGTACTAAAAATGGACAGTCATTAAATAACCTTAGAGATCATTTTACCTCAAAAGAGGTGCTGCAAAAGGTTACTCGAAAAATATTAATTTATGCATTGTTACTGTATTAATAAGAAACAGAGCTTTAGTTTTAAATAAGCCAACATCAGCCATAGATTCTTAGATCTATTAGTAGATTGAATATGTATGAACCAAATAAAGGAATTAGATGTAGTCAACTCCCAAACTGAGATTTCTTCCCTTACAAGAAACATTCAGTTGGTGAGGTCTATCAACAGCAGTCTGGAAGGGAATCATGAATCCTTCTCTGTGACTAAAGACATGGCAACTGACCACAGTGTGTGAGCGAGTACTGGATCCCACACTGGAGGACAAAGAACATTATAAAAGAAGTTATTGGGCCAACTGAAAAAACTGGAATATGACAGACTATATAAAATTAGTATATCAACGTTGAATTTCTTGAAGTCAATAACTATTTGTGGTTACATAAGACAATGTTCTTATCCTTTGCAAATACAGTCGTAAGTGTTTAAGGGTAATAGCACATATTTTAAATAGTTTACTTTTAAATGAGTTAGGAAAAAACTGTGTGTATATGTACACAGATGCATGATGAGAGAGAGTATGAAAGAAAGATAAATGTTAAAGGAAATAAGGTAAGGCTAACAATCTGCAAACACAAAGGGTGAACATTTCTGTACTATTACAACTTTCTGTAAATTTGAAATTATTTCTAAGTAAAAGCCTTTTTAAAAAGACCCTCATTCTGACAAGGTTGTGTATTGTGGAGTAAACGATTATATATAGGCTTTCTACTGCCAATTAAAATAAAAGCTATAACTTACTCACTTGTACTTATGATGGAAAAACAATAGATTAGACATTATTCACATTTTTAATTTTATGTATGTCCGAGCACAGCTTTTAGATGAGGTATGATTTATTTGAAGCCAAGATTTTGGCGTAAGCACAGTAAAAAAAAATGCTATCATAATTCTTCTTTTACCTTAACATAGGCCCCCATTGCTAATAATTTATTGCATCTCATCTGAAGAACATAAATAAAGGTATAAAACTCAGGAGAAACAAACAGATCTCTGTTTAGAACAAAATAAAAATCTTTTTTTTTTTTTTTTTAAGAGAGTTTCACTTTGTCACCCTCAGTAAAGTGGTACGGCATCACAGCTCAGAGCCAACTCAAACTCCTGGGCTCAAGTGATTCTCTTCCCTCAGCCTCCCAAGTAGCTGGGACTACAGGTGCCTGTCACAACACCTGGCTATTTTTTTCGAGACAGAGCCTCACTCTTGCTTGGGCTGGTCTGGAACTCCTGCACTCCGGCAATCCACCTTCTTATCCTCCCAGTGTGCTAGGATTACAGGCGTGAGCCACCATGCCTGGCTGAAAACAAAAATCTTTTAAAAATACCTAATTCTTTCAGGAATACTTTTAACTGCTATTATTAAGAGTTAATTTATCATTCAGTATACAATTCAATTGCTGCTTATTTCTAAAAATGCTTATCGAGCCTTAGCACACAGAAATAATGGCAGCAAATCCACAACACTCTTCTGAATGTCCTTCCTATCTTTCAAATGGCATGGCTAAATATCTAAACACGAGACTGGGAAGGTAGGCTGGAATTTCTATTCTAATTTTATCACTAATATGGTATCACAACTTAAAATAGTGACAACAGTTTGAAACTATTTTTTCTTCAATTGTAGGGTGACTGAAACTATGTAGCAGGCAATGGAAGTCAGGCAAAGCATTCTAAATGAATAAAGAGATGGCAGTTCCAAACACATTCCTCCAGAAAGTCTTTCCTCTAAAGGTACCTTAAAGATCAATTTTAAGTTCTTAAATAAATAGAAAATCTCACATTAGCTTGATACTGCTCCAGAATCACATGACCTGGAAATTCTGGCTCAGGCACAGATGCAAACTTCTTGATAATGTCTTCAAGTGCCTGGAGCCCAGCCATTCGCAGCTGGTTGCTATGATCAGTTGCAGCCATGAATGCCATGCGAATCAGGTCAGAGAGATGAAGGACCAAGAGGTCATCTAAAAATACAAGTAGAACGCAACTAGGAAAACTTTTCCAAAAATAAGTGTAATAACATAAAAATATGAAATGAATTTCTCATAGAAACACTTATGATCCATATATTTCCTGATATTTAAAAGTAACAAAGGCATATTCTTTCAAGAAGACTTCCATATCAATCTTTCAAGAATATTGATAAACCCCATGATATAACATAGGTATATAGGATGTACAAAGACATTGAAACAAAATACTTGATTAACACAACTTTCCCCAAACAAGTTTGTAATTCTTTAAGAACAGGGGTTAGCAGACTTTTTCTATAAAAATTCAGCCAGCAAATATTTTCATATCACCTCTATTGCAACTATTCAAAGCTGCTATTATGTAAAAACAGCCACGACAACATATTATATATAGAAAGACATGTGCTGTGCTCCATTAGAATTTTCTTATAAAAACAAGGTATGAGGCCAGGTTCAGTGGGACATGCCAGTAATCCCAGCACTTTGGGAGGCTGAAGCAGGAGGAATGCTTGAGGCCAGGAGTTTGAGAGCAGCCTGAGCAACACAGTAAGATCCCAACTCTACAAAAAATTTTTAAAAACTTAACCAGTTGTAGTGGCATGTTCCTGTAGTCTTAGTTACTTGGGAAGCTGAAGCAGTAGGATCACTTGGGCCCAGGAGTTCAAGGCTGCAGAGAGCTGTAACTGGGCCGCAGTATTCTAGCCTTGATGATAGCAAGACCCTGTCTCAAAAATAAACACCCTCACATTTTGGGCAGTTGAGGTGGGAGGATTGCTTGATGCCAGAAGTTTGAGAGCAGACTGAGCAAAATGGCAAGACATCTCCACGAAAACGCAGAAAAATTAGCTGCTGCAGTGGTATGTGCCTGTAGACCCAGCTACTTGGGAGGCTAAGGTAGGAGGATCACATAAGCCAGGCATCCTCAAACTATGGCCTGCGGGCCACATCCCGCCCACCGAGTGTTTCTGTCCTGCTTAGCAGCTGACTCGTCCCGGGGCCTGCAGTCTAGCCCTCCAACGGTCTAGGGGACAGTGAACTGGCCCCCTGTTTAAAAAGTTAGAGGACCCCTGAAAAAGCCCTGGAGTTTGACATTGCTCTAAGATACACTGATGCCACTGCACTCTAAGCTGAGCAACATGCAAGACCTTATCTCAAAAAACAAAAAACAAACAAGCCAAAAAAAAAAAAAGAACAACAAAATTAAACCAGGGTATTAGCTGGATTTGCATTGCAGGCTATTGTCTACTTTAGAAAAACTGAGACTTGGAGACAGGAAACTAAAATCCACAAAATAAGAAGGAAAAGACTTACAAGAATAAGATATAAACAGAGAAATCTTTCTCCTTTTAGCCTTAGAATTAAAGCCACTCTGGATCTGCCCTGAAAAGGCTTAAAAGTAAGTCTCAAAAGAATTCAAATGATACCAAGTAATGTTAATTGTATCTCAGAACTAAGTCCAACATTTTATAAAGGGATATAGAAAAATCCAGCACTAAAATGACAAAATTTGCAATGTATGTCATCTAATAGAAAAAAATGATCAAGGATATAAAGAAGTAGGAAAATATGTCTCACAACAAAAAGAGAGAAAAAAATCAGTGGATATAAATCAGTCAAGAAATAAAAGAGATAACAGAATTAGTAAACAAGGAACTTAAACCTGTTGTTATAAATTTATTTCCTATGTTCGTGAAGGAAAAAGCAAGAATACAATGAAGGGAAAAATGAAAGGCAGAAAAACCACAAAGAGGTCTTTAGAGACATGAACTTAAAAGCCACAGCAGAACTATATAAAGGATTTATTAAGCCCACGGAACTATCAAGTTCTTCAGGAGGCTTCAAAACTCTCAAAGTCTTTTTGAAGTCGTGACAATTCCATGGCTAACCCTGATCCCCAAACAGCTCCTTTTTAAATAGGTTTGTGTTACTGATGTCATCAAAGTTATAAGATGTATATTGTCAAACTTTCTCATCTGCCTACCTAAAATAGCAGCTTTAGAATCTTAACTTTAAAAAAGAATATCTATTCCTCTAGAGGTGGGAAGCAAGAGGAGGAGAGAAAACATTTGGCTAAAAGCACCTACTGCCTCCTCACCAAAGGGAGTCAAAAACACACCACCCATAAACCATGTTTTTTGTTTGTTTGTTTTGAGATAGGGTCTCACTATGTCACCCT